AGAAATAGCCGGATATTTTCTTTGAAAAGCGTTTTCAGGAATTTACGGAGATAATCGATCACTGATTTTTGTGATTTACGATAAAAAGATATGCAGTCATTGAAAATATCCATTTATTCATAAACGCAGCCTAAAATAATACACAGTCACTGGAAAAAATCGCGCACTTTACTTACATCATATTTACATCAAATTTACAACCGATTTCTTTTCAGTGAGTAGTGAAGTCAAAATTCATCGTTTCGTTTTGCTTAATACAAGGATCGTGTTTTGAAATCCTTGCAAAGCCCTGGAATTGAAAACTTGTCATCAAGGGCACTGGAAAAGTCCTTGAAAAAGCGTAAATGCTTGAATCTCGTGAAAATCACTTGCTCCTTTTTTAACTTTTGGAAAGAAATGAGAGTATTCTTAAAATCGGCTTTAAATCATCCGCAAAGATCAAAAAATATCTTCAAAAATCGTGTTTGCATTTTTGTACTCAAAATGTACATGAAAAGTCCTGGGTTTTGTAAAGGGAAATGTAGCATGAATCTTGTTGATAGTAAACGGCATATTGCTGATTGAATCATGCGTTTTTGCACACCATTTTATATTTGTAAATAAACAACTTCAAAAGGTCGAATTTTTAGACGACAACTTTTGCCTACAACCATCGCTTGCGACCTGCGTAAGTCATCCTTACAACATGGCTACTATGTTGTGGGGCTATTGAGCAATAGGCCATTTGCATGATGGCGTAACTTTACTACAACTACCAGAAAGCCTTGCGCATTTTCTTTGTTATTCAGATTTTTAATCCCCTTAGCGATTAGTAAAACAATTGGCACTAATTGCATTACAAAAGAAAGTKGGCAAAGCATTCTGGTAGTTGTAGTAAATGACGCCATAATGCAAATCGCCTAAATCCCTACGACAGTTGTAGCTTTGTTGTAAGGATGACTTACGCAGGTTGCATGCGATGGTTGTACGCAAAAGTTGTGTTGTCTAAATCGTGCTAAATACAGACAGTGCTCAGAGACTAAATAAAAAAACGAAGTAATAAAAGTTAACCACCAGCATTGTACAAAAATTGTACAAATTTGTTATCTATGTGATTTGCATTGTTTTGGTGTGAATTTATGTCTGTGRAGAGGATTTGATTATTGGTGAGAACTCGACAAAGCCTATAGAATAGGTAGCAATCACTGGCGATGGTAGGATTTCAAGGGATTAGCACGTTTAACACGTATGAAATAGCAGCAGAGCAATAAGCCATTCGCTATTCGTTGGGTGGTWCTGCGCAAATTTATCACAAGCTCATTGTCCTTCACCAAATAACTGTTGTTTTAGCTCCCCTTGCGTTCTCATGTTCACTGTGTGACAAATAATATATAGCTTACCTTAACCTCGGCAAACGACAGTTACAATGATGATAACTCAAGGCCTGTTGGATCATTTTCTTTGATGTTCTTAGACAAGTACATTCCACTCTGACTACATCAGACTTGTAAATGAGATATCAGAACGGTTTTGTAGAACGAGAGAAGAATATGAGTTTAATATCCATGGTACAGGTGATATCAGGTACCGTCATACGGAAAGACATCCATCACATGTCGATAGGGCGTGAAGTTAATGTTTGCACTGTCAACGAGGATTCCTGGTGCASTAGCAAATCTTATCAGGTAATTCGTCGTATATTTCTTAACAATCTTGACGCTGATACATTGGTGTAAAAGTGTATTACGYTTAGTACTTCTACGAAAACGAAGTCGAGTTTAACAATTACGTTTTCCAACACGAAAAACAATATTTGCGGATAAAACGAAGATCTCAGAATGAAACTCAAGAATGAGGTTTTCAGTGAAATTGCTTCTCACTTTAGAGAGAATTTGTGAAAATTTATAGTTACCTACTTTTTATGCAAGTTTTAGACCATATACTTTCGAGACTATTCCACGATAGCGATTTTCTTTGATTTTATTCTTATTAATGTTTCTTGTTAATGTTTCGCAATTTTCGTCCAAGTAGCCCTTTAACTAAAACGGTTATTTTTAGTTAGAATGAGATAAACGTTCATACTACAATTTATGTGAGGAATTCTCATGATTTATTCGTTTCTTTTGTATATGAGACATTTGTCATTTTAACCCGATGGATGGCCTAAAGGGTGGCATTTTTCAATTGTGAATCCCGTACATGTACTGCATGTTGTGTGACAGGCATCGCATAGGAATGCGTGACTTCGTGTTATGATACCCAAGCAGTTGTCGCAAAAGCGCTTCGGCTCTGTCTTTATTTCTGCGCACGTTGCTACAGCAAAACGAGCATCTGGCCAAATACCTGCAACACACGATTGTTAGTACCAGACTCACCCCCAGTCTATTTCACGAGCCCAATTACGGGAGTGAATAAATTAAAGTTATGAAAGAAGCTTTACTATCAACGCAGACTCGACATTACAGTAAAGTGAGTGGGGAACGAGTGAGTGAGTGATTCGGTCGCCCACATTGGTYACGCACCCCTTGGAATCAAACAGTAACAAGATAAATTAAATCGAAATTTTTACCTGTTCTGTCATTCTGGGTTTTCATTGGAGTCTTCTGAAAATAAACAATGAACAATGCCAAACGTAAAGTAACGATAGGTGAACCACTGATAATATTAATAATAATCAATATTGACCGTTATAATAACGATAAGAATAGGGGAGCTATAAATCAAAATCAAAATGATACCTATGGTTTTAAAATACATTATCTCACACCTTGTCTTTTGGTCTTCCCATCACCATGGCTGCTTCAATGACAAGTAACAACACCAAAAGGACGAAGRTATTTCCTGCAATCTTCATGTTCACTTAAATAAATGAATAAATGAAACTTGTCGGGCGAGACACGTTGGTGGTAAGTACTTCTGAAAGAGCTACTCTAGACAGCTTATACTTTCGGTAAACAATAGAAGTAATGAAGTATAACTCATTGATRTCTATCATATCTACGGCATTCCACCCTGAATATGTCACATGTATTACAAAGGTTTTGAGGAATGTAYGTTAATCTCCGTGCACTGGRAGTATATCAGGTACATAACACGTGCATACATCCGCCACATGTYATAGKKTGTKSRTAATGTCATTACTGTAAGGAAGGGATTCCAGCGCAGAAAAAAACTTTTCTGAAACCTAAAGCAATCTCACTTTAACGCTATATTGCTAGAATACACGAATTCCAGCGTGAAATTATCAGTATTGATTAATAGCAATACCTAGTTTATGATTTGTCCGTCTTTGGATGTCCATAAGTTTCTTTATTSATTCATTGGGTTTAAACGATAAACAATTTTTGCCCTGACTCACCAATGCAAGACAGGTGTTGGGCAGCGGGTGGTCAACATTTTTTCATTTCATTTTCATGCYTTGCAGCAAACATCWATGGGAAGAAAACAGCATGACGRTCTTGTTGTTACTCTTGTTGTTGTTGTTGATGTTGTTGTTGWTGTTGTTGATGCTAWTTTTGGTGTTTTTGCTGCTTCAAGTAGTTGTGGGGAATTGGAGGTTCACATTGCACTGCTTAGGTTTTTTTGTGTGATTGTATTCGTAATTCAGTCTTTCATATGCCGCCCTAGAGAAACACAACATGAACAAAAAATTGCTTGACAACACTTTCAGTTTGTAATTCTTTATTCATATCGCCTTCGTTTACAAGTCTCTATAGATATCAATTAGCGACCATATACTGGATGACACTTTTGTACATCAAACCCTGGACATGTACTACACGATGTATGACATCGAGTACAGAGAAAAGCGCGTGAGCGATACCCGGGTTTTCCTAAGCAATTATTACAGAAGTACACGGGTCTTGATTTTCTCTGCTTGCATATCAACATTCGAGAGTCTTTCCTTATACCTTTAAAACAAAAAAACAAAAACTAAAATAAATAACAATAATAATAATAATAATAATAATAATAATAATAATAATAATAATAATACAAATAATACACAGTTCGATGATTGATGGGTATTATGGAAATGGTAAAGGCCACCTACCCTGCAAGGAGAGGAATTTTTCCCACCCCTTCTACGAAGAAAAGAATAAATTTTTCCTATTCTTCGTAAAGGGGTAGGAAAAATTCCTCTGCTCGCAGGGCAAGTTACACCCAATTCCAAACACTGTATCCTACGTACTGAATAGGTGCTAAATTATGACTAAGTGATAAGTTATTTTCGTTACTAGAGTGGAAGCAATTATTACTGTAGATAACAGAATAAATTGACGGCAGTCCACTTCATAATAGTCAGTCTCTCAAGTAGTACCAATGGATTTCACGATAAATATAATTTAGTGTAWTGTATTAGAGTTACCTCCTTTCCAGTCGTTGCTTGGCACGATTTGATTGAAAGCCTAAAGACGTTTTAAATGATGTTAAGTGATATTTCTACGAGTGTAAATACACATCATCCAATACAATCACAAAATTATATACTCAAACAGTGACTGTATGTCGTCAGGTTAACCATTTCTAGGAGGAGCCGACGGGTTCCTGGGAGAAATACATCTGTTCTTATGTCCTAGCCAGCTGTAAGTCACAACTGATTGCCAGCGAGAAATTCAGGAAAAAAAGAACTCTCCAAGCAAGAAATATTTTCTAAATAATTTTTGCCAGGAATAAAAATTTCCTAACTAAAAAGCTGTTTTTGACCATGAAAACATTTTTTCAGGAATGTACATTCCTTGGAACCAAAAAAATATTGTAATAACGTTATATAAGCATTTTCTGACCTTAAAAAAACTTTGCCAGGAGCAAAATTATTTTAAAGAAGGAAGGGTGCCATATTTGCTTGTGTTAACAATGTAGCTCAAATTCACTTTCCCAGGAAAAAATTCGTGCACTGAACCCGTCGGCTCCTCCTGAATTTCTGAGAGTGGAAAAGTAGCATCACCTTAATGTTTCCCTTTCTTCTTCCCAACACCATCGCTGCTTCAATAACGAGGACAAACGCCACAAGGACGAGGATATTGTTGAAAACCTTCATCGTATTGTCCAATCTTTATGATAATCAAAGTTCTGAACAATTAAATTTAATTAGTTTTTCTGGAAAGTTTTTCAGCCTCTTTTATCACGAGGAATTTGAGAAAATCGTTTTCAAATATATTAGTTTTATTCGTTTCTTGRGGCTCGGTTCATTGGAGTGAAAATAGCTTTGATCTATAAAGAGAGAGAGATGTGAAATACCTACCTTGCCAGAGGAGAGAGAGTACAGTAGTCACATCAATAGTGAAATGAACAACTTTTCAACTCCACCACCGGCCGACTTTTCTCAAGCACTTCACATTTTTAGGAAGGTCTCAATGGGGTTAACCGTGAGCCGTGAAACGGCTAAAAAATTAGCCGTGAATCGTAAAAATGAGAAAAATTAGCCGTGAAACGGCTGAAAAATTAGCCGTGAGTCGTGGAAATGTGAAAAAAATTAGCCGTGAGGAGTGAAAAAGCCAAATTTTTAGCCATTACATTGAGCCCCTCTTTTAGGGCGTTACACCAACCTGCCGCTATCTCACCTTGTATGGACGTTTTTTGGTAAATGAATCAAACACCACAATCTTGRTATTTATGGTATGTGTATTGCGATATTCAACTATGCAGGTCTCGATGCAGGTAGATAACTCCAAGGAGGATTTAACGGTACAACTCGACTGGTAAAATTGAGCGAGCGTCGAAAATCGTACTTCATTTGTTATTACCGCTGCGTTGTGAAAATCTTGAGTAAAACTTTTCAAAAATCTATTACTTTCTTTTTGAAAATTTAATGACGAACATTCTTTCGAATTCTTACGCTATTTGAATGTCACTTAAAATCGCACATATCTCGAAAACCCAACACATAGGAAGTCCGCGGCAAACTGGTGTATGGAAATCGTGGCATTGTCAATTGATTTTTGTGACGAAAGGCCTTATGGCCGAACCGTAACCATCCACTTGTAGCAGGCGTTCCTTGCGAGTCCTTGATAGGTTTTTTTTTTAAACATTTCAACTTTAAAAAGCTAAAAAGAGAAAATCTCTAGAGAAGAACAAACGAAGTAACAACAGCAAAGAAAAGAAAAAAAGAAAGAAGAAAAGAAAACAATAAACAAAAAAGAAACAATAAACATGCGAAAAAAAAGAGAAATTCCAGAAGCAGGACTCGAACTCAGAACTTTCACTTCAGGAGAAGATGTACCCCCCTGAATACATAAGAAATAATAAAAATAAAAAACTAAAAAGATGGGACGATTCCCCCGAGACATTCTATGAAGCTGAGGCGGCGAATCGGCTTACGTTACGGTTAGAGATTTCGGCCCTTCCACGCTATCCCGAGTGAACATAAAACTTAGTCTTAACCAAAAGGCCAGGGAGTGAGGGGGTAGCCGCCCACTAGAGCATACCTTTAGCTACCCTCTTAGACCATCGTACTATGAAGACACTTGTAGATATCTAAAGCTAATTGGGGTAGTCTATTCGGTGAAGTTCTATGCTAATATATGACGTCATCAAAATCCTTAGGGAGCAGCGAGCCAATCAGAGCTCAGCTCGGGAATTAGCAAAGATACAGGCTTTGCATAATCATTCTTCAGTCAATTTATTATTTGATGGGGGAGGGGATGGTTGCTGAGTGCTGGTTTGCGGCCGAATACATGTACTCGATGCAATGCGACGGCTTTCACCGCTGTTCAATTGTCGTTATTGTTTTCCAAATCATCACAGGAAAATTAGGTGTACAGTTCTTATATCAGACAGACATTATTAGTTTTCTGATAAACACCATGGCGCAAATCTCTTTGAAATTCTTAACGTAAGCGGCTTACAAACCAGGCAGACATTTGCTGGAATTCAACTAAACACAATTAAATACGTCTAGAACGTTAACGTTTCACATTTTCGTTCTTGATGATATAAGACCATATATAAGTTTACACATTATCATTGAATATAAATATAGTGAATGCTATCAATTGAAGAGGATGAATGATAATCCGTATAAAATTGGTAAAGAAATCAAGGAAAACTTGGATGTAAAAAAAAAGTTAAGATAATGAAAACATTTTATCGGAGATACGTTCGAGAATTAATCATGAGTTTTTAAGTCAACAGATACAGAAAGATGCTAAATTAAAGCTCTAAGGACCGCTCCTTATCGTGGACAAAAATTCCTTTTCCGAATCTTTCAGACGGATATGTTTATTAGAAAAGGAAACAGGGCGCACCGCGTCAGGCCCCACGGGAGGAATGATCAACCATCACAATAGGTTTCGCCGCCTGGTGTGTATTCATAGGCAACGTAATGGTTGATCGCCACGTGATACTTCCAGTTCCTTGCAGCGTTTACAGATCATATAGTGTATTAGAAGTTATTAAATCTCTTAATGGCCTGAGTCACATGCAGTCCTCGACTGCCTCTTTTTTTTTTTTTTCAAATGGCTGGGTAAAACATAAAATCACCTTTTTTACGTTAACTGCTATGTAGTCTCCTCTCGCAGCCGTTAGGACTATCGTTCCCAGGTCAATCCCCCCTAGGGACTAACTGCTCTGAGAAGTCATATGCACTTTAGAAAATTAATTTTATTAATACAGTTAGAATTTCGCTCTGTCTTTTCANAAAAAACTAAAAAGATGGGACGATTCCCCCGAGACATTCTATGAAGCTGAGGCGGCGAATCGGCTTACGTTACGGTTAGAGATTTCGGCCCTTCCACGCTATCCCGAGTGAACATAAAACTTAGTCTTAACCAAAAGGCCAGGGAGTGAGGGGGTAGCCGCCCACTAGAGCATACCTTTAGCTACCCTCTTAGACCATCGTACTATGAAGACACTTGTAGATATCTAAAGCTAATTGGGGTAGTCTATTCGGTGAAGTTCTATGCTAATATATGACGTCATCAAAATCCTTAGGGAGCAGCGAGCCAATCAGAGCTCAGCTCGGGAATTAGCAAACGATACAGGCTTTGCATAATCATTCTTCAGTCAATTTATTATTTGATGGGGGAGGGGATGGTTGCTGAGTGTTGGTTTGCAGCCGAATACATGTACTTGATGTAATGCGACGGCTTTCACCGCTGTTCAATTGTCGTTGTTTTCCAAATCATCACAGGAAAATTAGGTGTACAGTTCTTATATCAGACAAACATTATTAGTTTTCTGATAAACACCATGGCGCAAATCTCTTTGAAATTCTTAACGTAAGCGGTTTACAAACCAGGCAGATATTTGCAGGTCTTGCAGGAATTCACTGACTAATTAAACACAATTAAAGACGTCTAGAACGTTAACGTTTCACATTTTCGTTCTTGATGATATAAAAGTTTACACATTATGAATATAAATATAGTGAATGTTATCATTGGATGAATGATAATCCGTATAAAATTGGTAAAGAAATCAAGGAAAACTTGGATGTAAAAAAAAGTTAAGATAATGAAAATATTTTATCGGAGAAAACGTTCGAGAATTAATCATGAGTTTATAAGTCAACAGATACAGAAAGATGCTAAATACTCCAATTTCGAGTTCTGGTTTGCTCTGTGTTAGCCTCAAAACCAAGTAACATATTCTTTTGTTTTATTGATAGCCTGCGAAAACGCATGGAATTTGAGAGACAATAGACTTGATATGAAATCTCACACTTTTATTCCCACAATTAGGAATATTTTGCGCGCAAATGAGGCTAACACAGAGCAGTGGAGAATTCGAAACTGGATTATTAAAGCTCTGAGGACCGCTCCATATCGTGGACAAAAATGCCTTTTCCGAATCTTTCAGACGGATATGTTTATTAGGCAAGGAAACAGGGCGCCCCGCGTCAGGCCCCACGGGAGGAATGATCAACCATTACAATAGGTTTCTTAGCCCCTGGGAATCGCCGCCTGTTGTGTATTCATAGGCAACGTAATGGTTGATCGCCACATTATGCTTCAAGTTCCTTGCAGCGTATACAGATGATATAGTGTATTCGAAGTTATTAAATCTCTTAATGGCCTGAGTCACAAGCAGTGCTCGACTGCCTATTTTTTCAAATGGCTGGGTAAAACATAAGATCACCTTTTTTATTTTACGTTAACTGCTCTAAGAAGTCATATGCACTTTTGGAAATTAATTTTATTAATAGTTAGAATTTCGCTCTGTCTTTTCACATTACTCATTCATAACATAAATATCGTATTACAATTACTGCTTTTTACCATTATATGCCAGCCAGTGTGGAGCTGCTTGATAGTTACATGTTCTTTTTACAATCAGCAAAGCAATAGGAATAAAAGAATAAATATGTTGAGTCCTTATCAGGATTATGCTTAATGTTCTGGTTTTCTCATCAACCAAATATTCATCAGACCCACAGCATGCGATCCTTTTCAATCCATGAAGTCTGTTATCCTGTCCCACAATTCAAGCATGTGTCCACTTAGCATGTTATCAGCTACTTGGAGGAGATTGTTTCTCTTCTTCTGTACCAAGAACATCTTTGTTGAGCTCTTCAATGTTTATGTTCTTTTCTTTTATAGCTTTCTAAGATTAATCACCATTATAAATATTGTCATTATATAACAATACATTGATTAGTAAGACATTGATTAGTGTTCGTAACGTTTCCGTATCATTTATCATGGAAGGAACGGTGTAAAGTAAGAACTCAGGGATTTGCTTGTTTTTAAACACAAGGCAATCAAGTGCAATTCAGATTTGGTCAACTATCAAATGAACTGTTTTTGAAGAAAGAACATGAACTGTCAACACAGTTGTAAACAACAAGTTAGATAATAAATTATTGCCCAGCAATATTAGGGTCAACAACCTTACCATAACACATGTCTTGTACGACTTGAAGAGGTCTTTGCAAGGATCATTATAAATATCTCCTTTGAGAAAATGATCTGTGTACCATGTATTAAAACAAGAATCATAT